CCTACGATATGACAATTTATTATTAGGATGACTCAGTAAACCAAATGTTAACATTCTATTCTCAACACAACGAAATATACTCTTCTGTTTAATTGAGAATAAAAGTTCAACTTTCAATACTCGATCTATTCGGATAGGAGAAATCATCATTGTTTGTTTGCATGTATGTTGGTAGTCTGGCAAAATTTTTTTTATTAAAGCCTTAAACCAATGGTAAGAGGATCGGCCGTCTCTATCTAATATTTTATTTAAACACACCCATAGAATTCTTATAATATTAAAGACCAGCACTAAATGTGGACTTTAAATTTCTTTATTTAGAGGGAAATTAAGAAATAATTAAGTAAATGGCTTAGAATTGATGTACAGTTACTGCATGCTAGTATTTATTCTTACTAAAGAATTTCTTTGAAATCCAGACATAATACCTTTAATTTTATCGGAGGTGGTCTTTAATTGGAGGGCTCTTTAATTGGAGGGCGACATGTATAATTATTATTATGGGAAACAAACGCGAATTACTATTGGTGATCACGTTTACCAATTGTGGTGGTTTAAATGAAAATAAAAGGACTTGTAGTTTCGGAAAACCCACGGAATGTTTTTCCTTGTAGAGAACGCCACATTTATAGATTCAGTCCCCTTAAATGGGCATTTCTTCCTTTGACCATGATAAACAATTCTAGAGAATTTCGTTCAGATTAATTGATTGAGTTATTTAAGTCTGGGACGTTAGCAATTTAAATGACCCTTTAATTCTCCCAGAAAGTTTGATTCAGATCAGTTGATCAGTTTTTTAGCTATTTTGTCTAGAACTGCGCCACCAAATGTGTAACGTTTAAAACCGATATATTTATTGTGTTAATCTAATAAAAATACATAATATTATTTAAATATTCACACATTTATATTATGCTCAAGCCTTTATGTTCCAGATAATGCCATCCGACTATCAGAGATCCAATAGACAATAGTCTACAGATATTTTGGAGCACAATAGCCTGGGTTCAGATGAATCATTCAATTGTAATTTGCGAGTTATTTGCTGTGTGACAGTTTAAAAAAATATAAAAGGAAAACAATAACAAAAAGAAAAAAAACTTACGTACCTTCTTAGCCTTAGTGTCGCATTTTTTGCCGACACTCTGACATCTGGAAGTAAGTGATTTCTCTGCAGTGATTTTATAAATTGCAGATGTCCTTTATGCTTCCAATTAATTGTTGGATTGTGAAATTCATGAAGTAGTAATATCGAGTTTTTTAGACTTTTGAATCTCGTGTACACTGATTTGTAGCATTTACTTTTACGACTTCGTAAACATTTTTCCAAAGCACGACAAATCGGAAAATTTAATGACATGAGGTCCGTTCTATTGCCTACGTCTTTTTCATACCGGTCTGTTGGGGCCATGTTCATGCGTATAACAAATTCATGAGAAGAGATTTCCTCACCGCATTGACTATCTTTTAGTATTCCTGAGCTTCCGACGACCGCACACGTGTTGTAAAATTTATCGGCATGTCGATGAAGTCCAGGCGACTTAATTTTATAAGGAATCAAAAACGATTTCATTGTGAAACCAAACGGCTGAAGTTGATTTCTGGAAAAAATATTATAACGCAATTATTAACATCATTTCAAGGCAATTACTTAAATTTGGACGAACCAGCCAAAACATTTTGCACCGTTAATGTACAAAGGATAATTAATGTACAAAATATGACATCTGATCGTGAAGGAGCGAGGTTCTTAGAGGCCTCCTTTCAATGGCCGTCGCCATACGTATAACAACACAATACAAAATATAGTACTGTACTGGCATTACTGATTACATTTTTTTTTTATGTTTGCATTTTCAATTTCAAAGCGCAAACGAAAAAAAAAAAAACACAATAAAACAGATAAACATTGTAAATTCTACTGTCACAAGGAGATTATATACAAGAGTTCGGTCAAAAAAACACCACTGAAAAGTAAACGGATAATGATTATTGCCTAATACATCTATTAAAAGACGTGATTAATGCCTAGCTCTATAATTAAAAGAGATGTAATCAATGGCGCATAAAAAAGGGCGAGACGGGAGAACATGTGACTGTAGGCTATGGTACTTGTTCGTTGGTCTGTGGTAGAAAAAGTTGGGTTAAACTCGTTAGGAGGCGGACTGACAACTATTTGAGGGCATGGAATGACATCTGGAATACCTACTAGATAGACCTTGTGGATGACTTTATCGCCTGATTGATCAGCAAGACTTCGAGAGTGGCTATAGGTTACCTCGATGTTAAACGCGCCTTCTTGCATAACAACGGGTTTCGCCTACCATAGGCCTTTTTAAGAAACCACCAGCAACAATCTCTTTACCATATCCAGTTCGGATGTGTTGGGTGGAAGGGTCTAAACATTCAAGGCAGGCACGATTGTCGTACTGTAACACAGGCCCTGTAGACAGTAGGTATAGGAAATTCTCTTTGGAGACTTTGTCAATTACCGATTCAGATACTAAGGTCTCTATGTGCTGATGTGCTGAGAGAATCGAAAAGAAAAATGGGAAAAAAGTAAACAATGTGTTTACACACAAGCAGATGATCACCGCACCATTCTCCTGCACTTTAATACTAGAAAGCAGTAGTTGGAAAACTAATAATTAAAAGGTGCACAAAAATAAAACTGGCATCTGACACATCATATCCTAAAAAAAAATAAAAAAGTAGTGGGAAAATAATTGAGTAAGAGGGATAGCGAGAGACAAAATGCAAAGCTATAAAATTAGGCAAAACATTCCAGGATCTTTAACCCCATGGTTCCAAACGGCAAGTTGGAACATGTAGAATGGTACCTCGTTGTTGATCTAAGAACACGACTACATTTACTCTATCGCAAAATGGATCCCGACCATGTAATGTTTTGTAAGTGAGCGTGAGAATTTCAAAAACAATACTTTAGGTGAACGGTGGTTAAATTGAAAGTGCACCGTCACAAAGGCGAGCAACAAAGTAGAGCTGAAGCCTTTAGAAGTAGAGAATGAGAAATGTACACATTTAAGGAAGAAGGTATTTATATAGAATCTAATGATAACAACCTCGAGGCGCTTAACAACAAGATAATAATAAAACAAAATCAAAATGAACAGAGATGCAAGAGATGGTGACATTCAAGTTGTCTCACCCACCGATGTAGTAGTAACGTCACTGTCTCACTGAGGCAAATTACATGCAGGTAATCCACAAAAGGCAGTATGCTGGGACCCGGCACTTTCCACTACAGGATATTCCTGTGATATGGTGAGCCGAGTTGTCATGTAATCATAAATAGAGATATCCTATTAGTTTTAAAAAGAGATATTTTGGTTTGAAATAGAGATATCTTAGTTTTAAATAGAGATATCTCTATTAATAGCAGATAAATACAGATATATCTGCTAATAGTGATATCTTTATTTAACGCTAAGAAATCTCTATTTAAAACTAAGATATCTCAATTTAAACTCAATTTAAATCTAAGATATCTCAATTTAAAACTAGGATATCTCTATTTAAAACTGAGATATCTCTATTTAAGCCCAAGATGTTTCAATTTATGATCAAATGATAACTAAGGTCGCCAAACTGTGAATGCACTAGGTGCAGTGCCGAGACAAAGACGTTACCATGAATAAGTAAAAAGTGGGACCAAACCTGAAGACCATTAGAACATCCAGCAAAATTGCAACGGTTGAAAAAAAAAGATGAGTTTTATTAAATATTTTACAGAGTGTGACTTTTTAGATTATCTTTGAGATTGTTCCAAAACGTAATTTTCTACCGTACGTTTTAATGACGGTTTTAAGTGTGTGGAGATGGAATGTAGGAAAAAATGGCCCCGGTAAAATTGGCCCAGGAAAAAAAGGCCCCGGTAAGAATGGCCCCGTAAAAATGGCCCGAATGAAATTTTTTAATTAATTTTTTCATTATTTTTTTTATTTGGAAATTCCGTGTGTGTGTGTGTGTGTGTGTGTGTGTGTGTGTGTGTGGTGTCTCTTATACACATCTAGATGTGTATAAGAGACAGATATATATATATCAAAACCCATTAGGTTTATACGAAACAAAAGTTCAATTTATACAGAAATAGGATCAAAAATGATCTCAGTAATCCAAAGGTAAAGCAAAAGATCTAAACATACAATATTAGACAGAATGTATTTTAAATTTTATATATGTGTTAATAGAACCCACTCTTTTGTGAAATAACCAGGTTTATAGGTGAAAATTTTAAATTTATTAATAAGTTATTTTTTCCTTTGAAAATAAGATCAATTTATGTGATTCAAAAAAAAAAAAAAATCTCGAGATTATCGGAAAACAATGGCCATTGAATAATATTGTTAATAGCAGAAATAAAAGTTTTAAAAACGTTAATCCACTGACAAAGTAGAGGAATCACATACATACAGTAATTCAAATACCAAAATGTGCAACTCACAGATAACCACAAAATTCACTTTTGTTAAGTCAAATGAAATAAATTTACATGTTATAAACAATGTAAATAAACAGAAAGCATGTGGATCGATTGTGTGTTTGAATCACAAGTTCATGTATGGGAAAATGGAGAGGCTTACTCTCTATAAACTTAGCAATAAATGTTCTGCTTATGAGTTACTCCAAAGGAGTGTTTGTTATTCAAATATTGTTTTTAGTAAACTGAATAATTAGGAATACATTTATTTAAGCAACTTATTTAATTGCATTGGTTTTTACTCCCCGCCAACTGAATCCAAGTGTCTACTACTGGCTTAGAAACCAGTGGCTATAGTATGTAAGTCCATCACCAATTATTATGAATATACAGGAATGAGAGGCACACTCGCCAATGAGTTCAAAAATATGGTTCACCTACCTATAATATTCTATCAATGTCTCGTTTACAGCTGCCGGTACTTCCTCTTGTTTTATTATGTCACGTTTTACTACACTTTCGTTGAATCCCATTGTAATATGCAATACATCTGCTACAGTCACAGGTGTATCATTAGAGAAATGTCTAAAATATAAAACACACTCATTAATTAGGATGTACGGTATACATTGTGCAGAAAGTATTTTATATCGACACATACCGTGGCCCATTTGCGTCATAATATATATTATATTTTATTTTATTTATTTCGTTAATTCAGTAATATCAATTCAAAAAAGCAAAAAAAAATAAAATAAATAAAAAAAAATAACATAAAATTAAAAAAAACAACAGTATAATACGTACAACATTACAAAAACGTGTATGTCATAATATGATATTTAAAAATCTTAATCATAAGTGCTATTTGTGGTAAAATTGAGTGATCTTTACTAAACGTTAACTCAGACAGCGTCGTAGGACGTAGCCCGACGCGACTTGTTGTCACGCTGTTGCCTACAAGGGGTGGAAAGGACACATGATATGATAAGGTTTATTAATTAAAACTAGGCTAAACAAGACTATGCTAGAACAAAGAACATTACATAAAGAAGTTATGATTAAAAAAAGTAGACGTTCAGTCTACTGACTACATCTACCCCATTGAGAAACGTCGTCCTCGACAGATTTACAATAAGAGAAAAAATGTAAAAAAAAAAACCAAAAAAAAAACCAACAAATTATCTGCATTATACAGTATTACAATAGATACTCCAATCAAAATGAAGGCACAACACAAAAACATATCAAATTAATACAGTAAAATCAAAAATCATAAAAATTAAAACTACATATCATAGCTTTCATAAATATCCTCACAAAAATAGAAATAAACCAGTACCTAAACAATATTAAAGATCGTACATAATGTATTCAGGTAATATTACTTTGGAAAAGAAGAATATCAAACTAGCCACATCAATTATCATAAATATCATTAAATCAGTTATTATAAACCAAAAAGGAATCATTTAACACTGTAAAAATAATAGTTTACCAATATGCAAAAAAAAATATTTAAAATGGTAATTAAACATCAATATTTCGTCATTTGAGAAAACAAAATTAGAAGAAAAAAATATGTATATGTATGAAGAATTTTAAAATTCATCGTAAAACATAATTGCCTAAATAAGTAGTTAAGTATAGTAATTATATATAATTAACAAAATTGTACAATGTAGTGTCAAGTACCAGAAGATACGAAATGCATTCTCAGTTAGGAAAATGTAATTTAACCGCCTTCCTCTCGATCTTGCCTACAACCCACAGTTACACCAAACTGACGACCCCACAGTGCTGTTTATTACGTTGTACGGTAAGAATGGCCACGGAAAAAACAGCCCAGGAAAAAAATGGCCCGGGGAAAAAATGGCCCCGGAAAAAAATGGCCCCGGTGAAAATGGCACCAAATGACAGGTAGGTAAAAATGGCCCCAGTAATAAAATTCTGTATTAAAACTTTTTTTAATCATTATATGCACTTTTTTAAACTGAAATAATTTAGTTTTTAAAAGGAATCTAACATCAAATAAATTGCCATTTACATTTTACTTTTTGCAGGAATTACATATTCAATGATAAAATATTCAAAGATAAAAAAAGCCACGAATAACACTTTTAATTTTTTTCCATTTAAATGTTAAAAATAGCAACAACATAATTATTAAATCAACATTACTCATGCATTTGCAAATACTAAAATAATTTATTTGTGGCCAATTTTACAGAAGCGGAATCACAATTTTCCGGAAATTCAATCCGGGTATTGGTAAAACCCACAAACAATGAGTTTATATAAAATTCAAATTATTATTATTATTATTATTTTTAGATAAAGCAGTTCCAACTGGTCTTTAATTTGTCACGTCCCAGTTCCAACTTGTCTCTATTGGCCTAACTTTCCACGGTCTCTATTCCTTGTTGCCAATTAGTAACAATGGCTTAAATTAATCCACTTCTGCAGACTTACAAAATACACTGAGTTCATATATAAACCATAATTTCTTTAATTAAAAACACCAACAAACATCATACGGTAGGGACATTACTTCCCCAGGGTCTCATTTACTAGCATACCCCTTCACATATCGTTCTGCTTATGTCTTACTGTTAAACAAACTCGACCAAAAATTTAAGGCTATTCTAGAGTTCTTTGCATTACAGTCCTTTTTAAATATGCATTTTCCGTAATGTAGTCCTATCACGTATTAAAGCATCGCCATAGTTTATTGTATAAAACACTATTCAAGAATCATTTGTGTTACAGGGGTGCACAAACCAGCATTCTTTGTGATATTGCAGCACATAACCATGCCTTTTCTTGTACCAAGCTAAATTAGTATGAATTATGCCGTTGAACAAATCTAGTTTGAAATATTGAATCTCGGTGATTATGCCAAGGGCTGATGGGAAATTATGCTAAAATTATATGTTTAATTTAATGGTTGTTTAATAAGCGCCTTTCTCCCACCTAAAATGAAAGCAACACTATTCTCAATACTATTACTGTATACCCAGTGGTGCCGCCAGAGTCGACAGTATCAGGTCTGATGTTCC